TTCTCTTCCTTCCCAAATCTGTCCCACCACTTCCCTAGCAAAGCTATATTTCTATACTCAAGATTTGGAACCCCTAACCCTCCCTCTTTTTTCCCCCTACATACTTTCTCCCAACTCAGCCATGCTAACCTATTCTTCTCCTCTGAGTAACCCCACAAAAACTTCCGTTGTAAACATATAAGTTCATGCAGCACAATTTTGGGTATTTTAAACACAGACATAAAGTAGATAGGGAGGGCAGAGAGAACGGACCTTAGCAACGTAACTCGGCCACCAATCGAGAGGTGTTTCGCTTTCCAGACTGCCAGCTTCTTGCTAAAATTATCAATAACTGGAATCCAAGGTTTCCTCCTGCACATAGCATCCCCAACTGGCATGCCAAGGTAGGTGAATGGGATGGACCCTGATTTACAATTAAGAGTAGCAGCTGCCGTTCTTCCCCACTCATCCGAGACATGGAACGAGTACAGCACACTTTTGTTAAAATTGATTTTCAAACCCGACACCAGTTCAAACCATCTCAATATCCCTTTCACAGCTTTTATGTTTGTAGGATCTGCCTTCCCCATGATAACGGTGTCGTCGGCAAACTGAAGGTGAGATATGTTGAGGCCAAAAGGGCCTATATCGACTCCTTGGAGTAAGTCCTTACTTACAGCTGCTTCAATCAACCCATTTAGGCCTTCTGCGACAATTAAAAAGAGAAACGGAGCAATGGGATCACCTTGTCTTATCCCTCTCTCCATTTTGATCTCATTGGTTGGACTTCCATTAACAAGAACTGATACTGAAGCTGTTTGCAAACATTCCTTTATCCATTTTCTCCATTTTTCACCAAATCCAAGCCTCCACATCATTTCATCTAAGAAATTCCAGTTCACACAGTCATATGCTTTCTCGAAATCTGCTTTAAAAACGAAGCTACTAACCTTTTTCCTCTTGATCTCCTCCACTACTTCATTTAAAATCAGTATTCCATCAGTGATCTGTCTCCCTCCCAAAAATGCAGACTGTGCCCCACTAATCACTTTAGATAAAACTTTCTTAATCCTGTTAGCCAGCACCTTCGAAATTATTTTATATAGACTGTTAACCAAGCTAATTGGTCTATAGTCTTTTAAGTCAACAGGATTAGCTTTTTTTGGAATAAGGACAATAAAAGAAGAATTTAGTCCCCTTACCAGTTTGCCATTACTGGAGAATTCTTGAGCAAAATCAACAATATCTTTTTCGACCACACTCCAGAAAGATCTAATTAGATGGAAGCTGAACCCATCAGGACCTGGTGACTTGTCCCCTCCACATTCCCACACTGCTTGTTTCACCTCTTCTGTTGAAATATCTCTTTCTAACCAAAGTCTGTCTTCATCATCTAACTGTTTGAATTGCAAACCATCAAGCTTTGGTCTATCCCATTTTTCTTCTTGAAAAATATTTTTGAAATAATCCCGCACTTCTTGCTTCACTGAATTGGGTTCTTCCATCCATGACCCATTTTTGTATAAGCCCCGAATCAGTTTCCTGGTCCTGTTGCTGCTAGCAATTCTATGAAAGAGCTTAGAATTGGCATCCCCTTGCTGAACCCAGTCAAGCTTAGTCTTCTGCTTCCATGCCACTTCTCTTCTTTGCCATGCTTCCCATAGTTCACTGAACCCCTCCCTTCTAAGCAAGATATCCTCCTCTGTTAATTCATTGTCTTCATTCTTACTATCTACTCCTTTAATTTTTGCTTCTGCGGCTGCAATCTGATGCTCGTAGTTACCAAAGACTTCGATATTCCATGTCTTCAGTTTATTCCTCAATTGTTTGAATTTTTCTTTACACACATATCCACTCCATCCCCCAACCTCAGTAGTTTTCCAACTATCCTCAACTACTCTGATGAAATCTGGATGTTGATCCCAGCAATTTAGAGTTCTAAATGGTTTTGGCCCCCAGTCACCGTTAACCATTTTTAATATCACCGGACAGTGGTCTGATATAGTTCTGTTTAGTCCAAACTGACAACAGTCACCCCAGAACGTGAGAAGATCATCAGAAATAAGGAATCTGTCCAGTCTGCTCATTGCTGACCCGTCACTTTTATACCAAGTGAATTTCCTCCTTGTTAGTGGCAAATCATTCAAACCAGCACTTTCAATGAAGTCATTAAGGTCCTCCCTGAAGCGGGAATGCTCCGTTCTTCCTCTTCTCTCTTCCTCTGATCTTACACTGTTGAAATCACCAGCTATACACCAAAAGCCATCATCTTCCTCAATCATCTTTTGTAAATCAGCCCATAATTCCATCCTTTCATTCCTGTTACATGAGGCATAAACATTGACGATGCAACACTTTTGCTTTTGGAGTCCCCACAGACCGTAAATTGCCACTGCTCCTGATATTTCGACAACTGTTTCTTTAACAAATATATCATTATCCCACACACACAATATACCTCCTGATCTTCCCACCGAAGCCTTATATGCCCAATCAAAATTTTCATGCCCCCAAATAGATAAACAAAAATCCTTGTCAATAGTCTCTAGTTTAGTTTCTTGAAAGCAAGCAAAATTAATTTCCTCTTTCCTCACCATATTTCTCACCACTTTTCTTTTAACCACACTGCCGAACCCCCTCACGTTGTAAGAAAGCAGCTTCATTTATAAGGGTTTCTGAA